TATACTAATAAAAATAATTTAAACCTGAAACCCATTAAGTTGAAGGTTAATGTCCTATCCACTATGGCAATCTGCCACTTGCAATACATTTACGACTTTAATTTTAAGTACAAGTAGATTTCATAACAAAATAGAGTTTTAAATTTCAAAAAAGAACAAAATAGATAGGAAACAATAGTTTTAAACTATATAATCAATTCGCTTTCTTCAATACAGTATGTTTATGTGCAAGAGTATACTTTGTTTGAAACAACACCATTGAATTTTAATTTCATAATTTCAAGAGAGAGTGTTTTCCGTCACACTCAATATCAAGGTTGGTTGGATCTTCCTTTCCAATCATGGAGACAATATTATCATAGCTAGGTTTATACTTAAATATATTTTGTGTAAATATAAATATATATATATATATATCATTACATCATAAATTATAAAATAAAATGACATATATATTATGGAGTATTGAAACATAATGAAAACATGGGGAACAAACATATAATGTGTGTTCATTTAAGTATTCAACAAGTCTCTTGTAATTTATTAAAAAAATAATGTAAAATGAAAGTTATCTATTTTGACACATCCTGGCCCAGGCCCCCACCACTTCCCGGGTTCGACTCTACCGTAGCACGATATTGTCCGTTTTGGACCCCTACCACACCCTCACGGTTTTGTTTCTAGGAACTCACACGAGAACTTCTCAGTGGGTCACCCATCCTAGGATTGCTCTCGCCGGAACTCGCTTAACTTTGGAGTTCTGATGAACTCCGAAGCCAGTGAGCTTCCAAAAAGCCTCGTGCTAGGTAGAGATGGGAATATACATATAAGGCTTACAGGATCCACTCCCCTGGGCGATGTGGGATGTTATATATTTTTTTATCTAAGTGAGTCGCAACCTAGGCAGATGTCTAGATGGGTCTGGGCAGGCTAAGCGGGTGCCTAGTCGGTCTAGACGGGCGCCTTAGCAGGTCTAGGCGTCATGTTCTAAATTTTCAAAAGCCCAAGTATTAATTGGGATGGCGGCCAACCGCCTAGCGCTTAGGTGTGGATTTTTAGAACAATGCTTACTGTAAACATTGTACATGATTAATTCAAAGAGTTTAAATTGTACATGGTATCATTTGTCTAGGTTCTAAATTTGACATCGTTTATTATAGGTGAGTTTAACAACCAATTGTAAAAGTATTTTTATAAATATTTTATCACTTTTCAAAGAAATAAAAGAGAGTGACGAAAAATTATATTTATAATATTTATTACAATATTTATAATATTTTTTATTATAAGTGATAAAACTATTCTAATCTATACTAATAAAAATAATTTAAACCTGAAACCCATTAAATTGAAGGTTAATGTCCTATCCACTATAGCAATCTGCCACTTGCAATACATTTACGACTTTAATTTTAAGTACAAGTAGATTTCATAACAAAATAGAGTTTTAAATTTCAAAAAAGAACAAAATGGATAGGAAACAATAGTTTTAATAATCAGTTCGCTTTCTTCAATACAGTATGTTTATGTGCAAGAGTATACTTTGTTTGAAACAACACCATTGGATTTTAATTTCATAATTTCAAGAGAGAGTGTTTTCCATCACACTCAATATCATGGTTGGTTGGATCTTCCTTTCCAATCTCTCCCTCAAACCACAAAACCTAACTTTGCAAATATTCCGCCGCCGGTCCCTTACTTAGGCTTGGGCCTACTGCAGTCCCTCCCACCCTCTACTTCCTCCCCACCGTCTTCTCATCCGTGACCCGCACACTTTCTCTTTCTCTCCGCGCCCTTTCACCCCCCGGTCGTTTTCTGTTTTTTCTCTGTTCCTTTGTGTTGCCCCAACACCTTCTCCCCCCCCCCCCCCCGAAAACTCTTTTGTGGGCAACCAGTTTTCCCAGCTCTGTTGTGGCCACTGGCCTATTTCCCGAATTTTGTTGCCATACAGGGCTTCCTCCCTTATTTGGGGTTTAGATCTATGAGTTTGGATTGGTCTTTAGGTTGTTTTGTGTGTCGGATCCTCCTTGTTTGGCTTGCTTTTTCTGGGTCTTTTTTTTTTTTTTTTTTTTTGGATCTTTTGCCTATTTGGTGTGGCCTACCAAAGGTTTCGTTTTTTCATATTCGTGTAGCTTCTGTTTCCTGGGTGGGGTTGCACATGGAGTGTTCCCAGCGGTGGAGTCCTGGGTGCCTACAATGATTGGTGTGCAAATTTGCCGTCAAAATTTTCTCTCCGTTGTTTAGACTTTCCGGGGGCTCTGCCCTTGGAACTATTGTTCTGTCCCCTCTGGGTTCGTGGTGGTGGTGGGGATGGCAGTGCAACGACGTGTGTGGTCTTGGATTGGCCTCTCTACCATCCATGTTGTTGCCGCTATTTCTTACCATAATTGCGACCCACATCCGTCTGGCATCCTTGTAAGTGGTTGTTTATGGTAATAAAATTCTATCATTTTTGTAAAAATAAAAAATAAAAAAAATTTTAACTACTCTTAACTTCAGGAAAAAAAAAGAAAGAAAAAAGATGGAACTCGGATCGAAGTTTGGCTAATTGGCCAGAATGGAATGTAAGTTAGCCAGCATATACCATCAAATGAATTGAATATTGCAGTCGACTTGGAGGTCTGGAGAAGAAAGATGATATATTACCCAATTAAAGAACTGCACGGGCAGAAGAGCATTTTAAAGTTCAGAAAAGGCATACTCCAATCAAAATAGCCAAAGGGCAAACATTATTTTCAACTTTTAAACCTAAAAAATTCTTCATCATGATGCCTATCTTTAATTCAATCTAAAGTGATGCGTAGATATCTTCTAGATAAAAACATGATATGAGTCTTGGCTTGAATCATGATTTCTCTCTTTTGCGGCTTCTCAACTCAATCTATTTGCTAGACTCTACTTTGATGGGCATCTTTAAAGATTAAGAAACCTATAAGTCTTTATCCTAACTTTGCTACTTTACATGTTTTCAATTATTCCCATCTTTCACAAACAAACAACAAATTATCATAAGTTCCTCTTATAACAACCAATCATCTACATGTGTTTACAATTATGTGATCGACAATCACTCATGGAATAGGCTTCATATTTTAGAACGTACTAGATCAATGTATCGATTACGATCACGTACGTGAACGATTGGATTTAATAAAGCTATTACTAAAAGCGAATGCAAATAGGTACTAGCCTCTTATTCACTTTAGAATTTGAGTGTAAATCTACTAAGCATTTACCACTTTGAGCCCGTGTTTTATCGCTCTCCGTATCGCTTTCACCAAAGATAAATTAATAATGTTATATTAGGCTGAAGAAAGTGAGTATGATATTAATATATTGAGCTCATATAAGAATCACATTTTGATGGTAAGCTGAAAAATTTGAGTGTGGTACTAATATATTGAACTCATGAGTATATATTAAACTCATGAGTGTGATGCTTATAAACTAGTAGGTTTTAAATTATGACTCTCATAGTTATTCTATTCACACTAGTGTAGCAGTATTGTTATAAGTATCAAACTCGGATTACCTGATTCCTATATAATATGACACTCACTCAAACTACTGTGCAACACACAAAATTGATAACACTGTTGACAGTTTCTAATAGAAATAAGTCATTTTATTGTATGCAAGATCACCTTATATTAAGGTGTGTATATTAACCATATGAACAATATTAAAATTGTGTTAGAAAATTTAAATTATTATTATAATATTAAATTTATTAATTGAATGGAAATTAGAAGTGGAGCTTTGATAGAAAGATGTGTCTATTCAAATGAAGAGTTGCAACTTTTAACTCTTCATGAATATTCACATGTTTTCCAAAGAGGTATTTCAACTTCTATAAATAGGGAAGCCCCCCCTATAATCACTTAACAACTTTTCATTTTTTACATAATCATACATAGAGCGTACTAAGTATTAGAGAGTCTCATTGAGTCCATATCATGAGAGAGTTTTCAACAAAATCGTGGTTCATGGAGCCTTGTGATTTGGAGAACTACTATTACAAGGACTTGGTTGTTGTATCTTGGGAGATAAGCGTTGATCAACCATGAGCACCATAGTTGGGTGTAAACTTGTCTTAAGGACAAAGTATCCAACATTTTCCTTGACCGTATTTCCAGATTTTTTTAATCAACATATCATGTTCATTTAATATTGGTTACTCATGTGCATGTATTATTTCCATTGTCTTAAATATGTGTTTTGATTAGAAATTGTGTTTATAATGTTCATTTGTATTGCATGACAGAAGATAGAAACTCCAAAAACTTTTAGTCCATCCATATTTACGCAACGGTCGAAGTTTGAAGCATACCCTTCCGGAAACTGTACTGAAGATAGAAACTCCAAAAACTTTTTCCTCTTATCCAACTTCACCAAAAATGATGCAAGCTTCTTTCTGGCTATATCTTCATCCCTTGTCATCCATAAACCTAGCCTAATGCCTATTTTTTCCAAATCGATCCTAGCTTTTATTGTGTCCTTTATTTTTCCCCCGATGTCTAGTATAGTTCCTACAAATGTATCACATTTTACTCAACATGCATTACATCGATGTTGTGTCTTAATTTTAATTTGGACTAGTACAGAAGCTTGAACAACGTCATCTTGTCTATCTAGTTCAGATGTGCCTCTGGACCATTCTCTGGGTCTTGGTCGAAGCTCTATGCGTTGAAGAATGTTGTCTCATTCTGACGCCACTTGTGGTCCCACGGCAACCATCTACGATGCCTTAGGTAACAAACTTTTACTAAGTGTTCTCTTTGCAAACTGGGCATTCGTAATAACCCTTAGTGCTCTACCTAGACATCATAACGTATGCAAGAAAATCATTTATGATCCACATCACTGCTGCTCTCAAAGTGAACATCTTCTTGGTAGATTTATTGTACGTGGGAACACGATTTGCCATAATTCTTTTAGTTCATCGACCAACAATTGTAAATAAATATCAATAGACGTGCCCGGAACTTCCGTTATCAACAATGTCATCATCATATATTCTTTTTTCATGCATTTCCAAGGTGACAAATTATACAGAATTGCAAAGATTGGCCAGGTGCTATGATTTTGGTTTAGAACCCCGAACAGATTAAACGCGTCTGTTGCAAGTCCTAATCTAACATTCCGGGGCTTACGTGCAAAATTAGGGTATAGTCAATCAAACTCTTTCCAGGCATCTCCATCTACAGGATATCTCATAACATCATCATCCACTCGTATGTCCTTATGCCACCTCATGTCACTTGCAATGTGCATCGACATATACAATCACTGCAACCTGAGCTTTAATGGGAGATAACACATTACTTTTTGTGGAATCTTCGTTGTTTTATTTTGAGATGTCATTTTAAACCGCGACTCATTACATACAGGGTATTTATCCAACACTTTATTTTCTTTGTAGAATAAAATGCAATTATTTTTACACTGCAACCTGGGCTTTAATGGGAAATAACACATTACTTTTTGTGGAATCTTCGTTGTTTTATTCTGAGAGGTCATTTTAAACTACATACAGGGTATTTGTTGAGATCTTCTATGTGGGTCATGATGCAAGCAAGGAGTTTGGCAGTCAATTCTTTTTGGAGTGGCCTACTTTGGATGATGATGAGTTTAACTTGGATGGTTTTGGCGAGATTGGTATTAATCAAGCAACTGACACTGACAAAGGTGAGCAAAATGAAGAAAATGATGACAACTTTGTTGTTAGTGAGTACGAGTAGAGTGAAGATGATGATAAATTGTATGAGATAAATGTTGAAGAAGGGCTAGAGAATTTTGAGGCAGAGCCACCTTTTGAACATACTAGAAATATATCATCGGATGAAGCAAACTTTGAGGATTTTGATAGCCTTGATAAGGGTAAAGAGAATATTGAAGACATTGAGTCAAATAAGAAGAGGAAGAAATGAAAGCTGAAGTTTAAAACATGGAAGAGGCAAACGGACCTTAAAAATCCTCAATTTAGAATTGGCATAATGTTTCGAACAAGAAAGAAGCTAAGGAGGCTATGAAGCATCATTCTATAAGGACTAGTAGAGCTATTAGATTAAAAAAAAAATTACAAGACGAGATTGAGGGCTGTATGTGAAGGGTTAGAAACTTGCCCATTTGTGATTTTAGCCGCGAAGAAGAATCCAAGGTCGGATACCTTTGTTATAAAAACCCTGCAATTAGAGCACCAATGTGGGAGGGTTGACAAACTTTTATGTGCAAATTCAAGATGGCTTTCAGAGCACTATATAGACATACTTAGAACAAATCCAAATTGGGATGTCGATGACATCATGGCCGAGGTTAGAAGAGAGTTCAACTTAGTGGTTACTAGAAACCAAGTTTTCAGAGCTAAAAGGCTTACCAGAGAAGTGATTGAAGGTAGTTATGTGAAGCAATATGCACGATTATGGGACTATGTGGAAAAGCTTAAGAAGGCCAACGTAGGTGGCAAAATCAAGGTGAAGACTCAAATGGACGGTGATGATATTCTTTTTCAAAGGATTTATGTGTGTTTGGCAAGGTGTAAACAAGGATTTTTGGAAAGCTATAGGCCTGTCATAGGAGTTGACGGTTATTTTATTAAAGGCCCTTATTCTGGACAGATTTTGACAGCTATTGGGATTAACTTAAATAATGGTTTATTCCCAATAGCTTATGCAATTGTTGAAATAGAAAACAAAAGCACTTGGGTTTGGTTTTTGGAGCTTTTGATTGCTAATTTGAAAATTAAGACTGACCTAGCATGGGCTTTTGTAAGTAACAAGCAAAAGGGTTTGGAATCAGCAATAAAAAATTACTCCCAACTGCTGAGCATGAGATGTGTGTTAGGCACTTACATCAAAACTTCAAAGCTTCTGGCTTTCAAGGATTGGAAATGAAAAATATTTTATGGGTAGCAGCAAAGGCAACAACAGTACTATGGTGGAAGGAAAACATGGCAAAAGATGAAAAATCTATATGAAAAAGCATGGGAATGGCTTAATGATAGGCTTGCTAATAATTGGAGTAGATCTCACTTTAATACTCACTATAAGTGTGATGTTCTACTTAACAACTTATGTGAGAGTTTTAATTCTGTTATTCTTGTGGCAAGAAGAGGCCTATCTTGGGACTTCTAGATAACATCAACAAGTATATCATGCTTAGGATGGCCAATAGAAGAGCTGCTAGGAGGAATTGGAAGCATCCAGATGGTCCAAGGATTTTCAAGATAATTGAGAAAAGTAAAGTGGAAAGTACTTATTGTATTCGTAAGATGGTTGGTGAGAATGAGCACCTAGTACAGCACTTAAGTGGTAGACAGTTTGTAGTGAACTTGAAGGAGTCTACTTGCTCATGCAAGAGATGGGATTTATGTGGGATCCCATGCTCACATGCAATTGCTTGTATATTCGCCAAAGATGAGAGTGTTTACGCCTATGTCTATGACTGCTACAAGAAGGAAGCTTACTTGAACTCTTATGATCCTATAATCTACCCCATTCCTGGAATGGATTTGTGGGATAGGACGGATTTAACTCCATTGAAACCTCCAATATGCAAGAAGCAACTTGGCAGGCCAAACTGAAAGAGAATTGCATTTGTAGGTGAAGTTGAGCCACAAGCACACTATCCCCCACCACTAACTAATCTATTAGGTGAGCATAATGACACACCACAACCGTAGAGACTTAGAAAATGGTTTGTAGAGATAGCCTGTGATAAATGCGGAAAGTTAGGGCACAATAAAGTAGGATGTGGAAAATCACAACATACGAATGCAACAAATAAAAGTCAGGTACATATTTCTGCTTTCGTAAATCCTAAAAAACCAAACTAGCAAGTGTTGTAAGTTGAATTGTAGTTTAATTCATTCTTGGGTTAATGCAGGAGACTCAACAAGTAAACACTCAAGCAACAACTCAAAATGCCAAGCAAACTCTCAAACTTCAGGGACACAAATTTCTCAAGTGAACACTGAAACACGAGTTCCAATTAACTCCTAAGGAAAGAAAAAGCAACATGTCTGTTCTCAAGCAAGGCAACAAGGAAAGGGAAAACAACCTGTAAGTTTATCTTTGATTATTTTCTCATACATTATATGCCAATTTGATTTGATTCACTGAATCAATTCTTTGATTTAGGTGAGAAGGGGTAGATACAATGGGATGGGGAACCAAGCAAGATCAGATTTACATTGATTTGTGGGTCAAAGTTCTGGGGCACAAGCTTCAGGAAAGATGGGAAGACCATGGAGGCTTTGAAATATATAATATTGCTGCTTGTTTTTTTTATGTTCATGGACCAAAGAGACCTTGATTGGTTGATGTAACCAGTTGTTTTCTGATGGAAGATGTGAAGACCATGGTGGTTTTGAAATAGATGATGTTGATGCTTGTTTTTTGATGTGGATAGACCATGGAGAACTGGATTAGATGATGTAATCTTTTTTTGAGCAGTACATAGTCGTAGACCATTGAGGCCTTATGAATTGTATTTTGATGACTTAAATTCATGACTGGAATGGTTTGTTTAATGTATTTGATGACAAGACGTGTTTGATTAGAATGTTATTTTCATGATCATGATTAAGAATTTGAATGGATGGTGAATGTACATGGTGGGAATTTGAGAATTGGGCGTGGAGGAAAGCTTGGGTATCGACTTCAACCTGGGAAATAATATGTTTCCTTAATTGCCCCTACAGTCAGTGTCATGTGCTAGGCACATGATTGAATTTAACGGAGTTATTGACGGTGTTAAGGAAAATGACCATAGCTGCATATTTTGAAAAGTTGAGAGAGCAATGGTAATTGCTACAATTTCCTCTACTTAATAAGCATGAAAAAAAAGTAATTTGCTTCTTAAAGGAGATAATAAAAATATAGTTGATTAGTTCAACTTGACGATTTTAAATAATTTTTGTAAAGAGTAAATTTAAGGTATTGAAAGGTTAGAGACATTCCTACAAATACATTAATTTTGGGGGAAGGTAGGGGGGGGAATGTACTTCACTAGAGAGTTAGTTGTATCATCGAGGGGAATGGATTAAAAGCCCGCAATTAGAGAAGTCATAGTGGAAACCTAACCTAGTTGACAGAAGATCCCAAGATCTAGGTTCAAAAGGGACAAGTAAATTACGACAACTCCAAGATGCACTATAGAGATATATTCTCCTTCTATCCATGTTCGATGATGATAACAGTGCTGGTTGCCACTGAGACTAGGTTAAGCTTTACGCTTTCAATGATTCCTATAGCTTGGAAGACTTGGAAATCCAAGTGGGGTTCACTGATTATCTAAGTAAATCTAATAGTAAGCCAAAAGTTACCTATCCCAATGCGGTACTTTTCCAACTGAGTTCTCTCTAGTGTCTGCATAGTCATTTGCTTAGTGTTGAGTTAATTTCCATTCATGCGGGGGATTGTTAGAAAAGTTTTATTATTATTATTATTATTATTATTATTATTATTATTATTATTATTATTATACTATTAAATTTATTAATTAAATGGAAATTAGAAGTGGAGCTTTGGTAGAAAGATGTGTCTATTCAAATGAAGAGTTGCAACTTTTGACTCTTCATGAATAATCACAAGTTTTCCAAAGAGTTATTATTATTATTATTATTATTATACTATTAAATTTATTAATTAAATGGAAATTAGAAGTGGAGCTTTGGTAGAAAGATGTGTCTATTCAAATGAAGAGTTGCAACTTTTGACTCTTCATGAATAGTCACAAGTTTTCCAAAGAGGTATCTCAACTTCTATAATTAGGGAAGCCCTTTATAATCACTTAACAACTTTTCATTATTTACACTATCATAAATAGAGTGCACTAAATATTAGAGAGACTCATTGAGTCCATATGAGAGAGTTTTCAACACAATCATGGTTCATGGAGCCTTGTGATTTGGAGTGCTATACTATTACAAGGACATGGTCATTGTATCTTGGGAGATAAGTGCCAATTAACTATAAGCACCGTAGTGAGGCGTAGCTAACGCAATGACTTGCTAATAATAATGTGTCGTTTATTGTAAAAAAAAATGTGTGCAATCTCTTTGCAAGAATCTTCCACAGATGTACATGTATATCGTTTGTAATTTTGTGTTCGTGATACCTAGAATATTAAATAAAAAATTAATTCAAATTATGCAATACAATAGGCATCTTTGTGCAGATTAGACAACGAAACCTTATTTGACTCGATAAAATTATTTCTTTTGGAAAGGGTTTTTTTTTTTTTTTTTTTGGTAGTGAATGTTCGGACGTGTTCTATGTATTTACACGACGTCAAGTGAAAGAGTTAAAACTTGACGTATGAGAGCTAAGTTTGAGACATCGATATCTTGATGCCTTCGTTTCATGTATGTCGTCCTTTTTTTCTTGTTGCATTTGCCGTTTTGTGTGATATTTAAGAGAATAGCATTATAGATATAATCCTACTTCAAATAACAATATTAGAATGAATTAAGTACTAATCACACGTATTTGATCTGCTTTTCTGGCCAATCAAAGTGTTGAGCCTAAAAGGCGGTTTCATGCTCAAGTCATACACCATGACAGCCAGATGTGATGTGGGGGTACATACTTTTCCTCTTAAATGTCACTTTCTCTAGTATTAATTGCCATACTTGCCCCGGGTCCAATGGCAGCCACCTCCAATCCTCCATCCATCTCTCATCTCAACTGAGTGCCCACGACTCTGTCGTGATGTAAGAAATTTCTTCCCAGTTGGGTCCCCACCCATTACATATGGTGCCTCTGCCTATGAGGCCTACCAATGCAAGAATAAACACCTAAAAAAGTGGCTGTTATACATGCACCATAATATCTTACAGTCAACCAAGAACAATTATATTATCATTTCACCCCTTTGGACAACATAACTGGGAGGGTAAAAATACGAAAGTGAAGTGGGTGAGACGCATGAAGATACTAAAACAACATTTTAATTTGAAATTTGGGTTTTCAACTTTGTGACCACATCAGATAGTGCCTTTGTAGAAGCCCCATCATCACTAAGAGCTGTAGCACCAGCATCCTTCAGGTCCTTCATTCGGCTTCTGAGTCGCTTACCTTCCTCGCCTTCCATGAGAGCTTGAACCACCATCGCAGTCTCCTCCCTTCCTACCAAACCATATTCATCCGGCTTGGGTCTCAGTGCCACCCTTACGTCTTTTGTAAACAAATAAGCATTCATTTTTTGTTCAGCATATAGTGGCCAAGCAACAAGAGGTACACCATTTACAATACTCTCCAAGGAGGAATTCCAACCGCAATGGGTTAAGAACCCTCCTGTTGACTCGTGACTTAGAATCTGAGCCTGCGGTGCCCAATTGGGCACAACCAGACCCCGCCCCTGGGTCCTATCCGTAAACCCTTCGGGAAGAAACTTCAAAGGGTCATTTTGGCTGTGAGCAGTAAAATAAGTGGCATTGGCAGCTTTGTCACTGGGACTCCTCACCACCCATAGAAACCTTTGCTTGCTCATTTCCAACCCTAGAGCCAGCTCATTGATCTGATCAAAAGAGAGGGTCCCACCACTTCCAAAAGAAACATATAACACAGAGCTACGTGGCTGCTCATCCAGCCACTTCAGACACTTGGATGACTGGTCATCCAAAACGCCACTGAACTCCATTTTTACTAGCGGTCCAACCGGGTAAACCGGCGGCTTACCCGGTTCTTTCTCCTGTAACGCTTTCAAAGCACCTCGCTCCAACTCCGTGAAGCTATTTACCATAATCCCATCGGCCAAACGGTACCGTTTCGCATGATGAATAAACCATTTGTAGGCCTCATCTCCACGGTCCTGAACCGGCTCGAGCAACTCGCTGCCGGGAATTGGGATGCACCCGGGAATCGTGACGGGATCGGAGAGGTCTCGATACTCGCACGACACCGTTTCGTGGAGCTCCGGCGCATAGAGGACGAGAGAGAGGAGCATGGCCGTGGACGGGAAGAAAATGTAGTTGAAGAGGTTGAATTCTTTGGCGACGTCGAAGGCGTCTGTGCCGAAGAGATCGACGACAAGCCCGACGAGCTTGGTGCGGGAGGCCAAGGAGCTGAGAGCGTCGCGGAGGGAGGCAAGGGATCGGGCGACGGTGAGGGAAATTATTGTTTCAATTTTGGAGCCTTGCGGGATGTCGTCAAAGCAGACTGGCGGGAGGAAGACATGGTCAATGGCGGTTGGCAGGGCGTCTAGGACGGACTTTTGGGCTTTTGTTGGAGGGCCGTCGCAGGGGACTACGAATGTTACGGTGAAGTTGTGGCGGTGGACGAGTCGTTTGGCGAACTCGGCAAGTGGGATGAGGTGGCCCATGCCTGGACTCGGGAGAATTGCTATGTGAGGTGTTTGTGATTTTTCCATGGTGGTTAGCTTGTGCTTTTTGGGTAAGTGCTTTTAATTTGGTGAAGAGAGAGAAGAGGAGTTAGCTGGGAATGTTATGAGAAACAATCGGGTGAGCTGCTGCTTTTTATAGATGTGAGGTGTTTTGGGAAGAGAGAGAGAGGGAGAGAGAGAAAGAGAGAGATTAATTAATAGTTAAATGGGATTAGAGAGGTACTTAATGTAGGGTTTGTGTTGTTTTGTTGTGGTTGTGGGAATATTATATGAGGATGTAATATGAGAGAGAGAGAGAGAGAGAGAGAGAGGTGGAGGGGGACGGCACCTTGTAGAGAGTTTTTTGGGGAATGGCCAGCCATGCAATGAACACATGTATGAGTGATGTCAACTCAAACGTAAGGCTTACGTTATCAAATCAAACTTTACATTGTACTGCTAGGAAAGTAAATTTATAGACTAAATTTACAAACTAAATAATGTGTCACAAATAAGAACTATGCATGGTAATCAACACTTAAATAATAATTCAATCTTTAGTTTTCATGGCATTTAATGTTTACAAAATTTAATCATTCTAATATTATTCGTGTATATGCTTATGACATACATACAGACCTTGTCTAACCTATTTGACGAACATAATTTTATCGGTCTGATAAATCAGACAATATCAATCATAAATCTTCACAATACGGACTATAATATTGTGAACATGAAGTCAGTCTATACATACTACTTTGTATACATATTGTTAAGCAAAATATGGACAATTTATGTACTCGAAGAACACAAGTACCAGTAATACTCCATTTCCCACAAAGGTGTGTCAATCACTCACCTCACAATTTATTTACATGTAAATGATCAATGATTGACAACCGTTTATATACAAAGTAAATTATTTTTATTTATTTCTGAAATAGTTAAATTAGAGATATAGTAAGATGAAGAGAAATATTTTATCTACTAAGACAATCCACTCATTACATTTAAAAGAAACATACACATAAATACAATGGAATTATCATATATTAATTATCAAAGGACCCAACCAAGATGGTCGAAAATGTGCTCTTAGGGAAACTGATAATTGAGCCATCATTTAAGGACCACATGCATGCATCCCAATTACTGGTCATGTTTGTCCTGCCAAATCAATATCTTCTTTTCTTTTCTGTCAACATAACCCAGTTTATGGTATTTTTATGGAAAAAAAAAATCATCTTGTACCCATCATGTTACGTTACCACTCTTCCCCTAAGAAATTTACAATTCTTCCATTCTCTCTAATCAATGGAAACGGGTACTTAAGGCGCGCCGTTGACACAAAGCAGTTACATGTGTCAACTTACATCAAAGAGCCAAATTAATGAACTTGTGCCTAAACCTAAGTATTCTAGTGGTGTTTTATCACTAAATTGTTATAGCACTCTATTATTAAAGAGCCAAATATCGATTTCCGTACACAAGTTTTAATTTGGATCATACGTTGTTACAACACTCTCTTTTCTCCTCTACATACTTATTTAAGAGAAATGCTGAGGAGATTTTTTAAAAGTTAGACTCTTCACGGACTTTCTGCCACCTTATATTTTTTGCACAATATTTTTTAATGTTGATACAGGAATTGATGTTAAATTATGAGGTGGCAGAGAATACAACCCGGTATACCAAGTGTCATAATACAAATGGTTGAATAGTTAAAAAAAAAATTCCCAACAACTTGTGTAGCATTTCTCTTAAATAAGCTTGGATATTTATGAGAAAAAGTTGGACCCGGATGATATGTGTCATTTTTTTTATCAAGCACATGATTAAGATGTCAATTTTGAATGGAGTGCGTCTTCACTTTCGAATCAAACTTGAATTACTTTGGAATTAATATGGAGTTTGTTCTTGGGATGATGGTATGGAAACGCATTTCTTAATATATGTCAACATTCTTTGGAACTAATTGGCGAAATTAATCTAATGAATTATATATAACATATATTTCATGTTGTATACATGACTTGATCCAGTAACTTGCTTTTAAATAGAGAGGTAATTTATCTTGGGACATTGGCATTATGATGATTTTACAACTTTCAAGTGCCAATCTAACTAATCCTAGAAAAAAAAAATATTATAGGAATAATAAACTCCCACGCGTAATGATTATCTACCATTCTAAATTTCTTGTACAAAGTTCATTTATGTTTTTCTTACGTCCCCCTCAACTGTTCTTACTTCAAAATTCAAGCCTTTGTATAAGAAGGCTTTGTTAACTCATTCAACGTGAAAATTTGTTTCAAAATCCCCTCCCTGTAGTTTCAATGAATTTCGTATAAGTTATTCCTTCGTTTAGCAAAATAAATAAAATAGAAAAAAAAAAAAGAAGGAAGATATTGATATTGGCGTGTGGAAAATGTGAACACTCCAAATAGTGGATGTTTGGGTCTACAACTCATCCCAATTTTTCCAACCATCCAAAGTCTACTACGCTCCTTTGTTTTTCCACAGACCCATTTTTGACAATCAAGCCTCTATACCCTTCGTTGGTTCCATGCTATGAAGCATAAAATGTGAAAAACGTGTGTTAGGTAAACTTCTGTTTTACCTAAAAGCCTAAAAGGGTGGGGAAGAAAAACGAAAAAAGAAATGGTCAATTTTTTAAAAAGAATTGAAATTTGAAGTCGATAAAGGATACTGTTAGTTGAGAAATACTGGACTAGCTGGCAAACAATTATTTTCCAATGTGTGTGTGTGTGTGTGTGTATTGGTATGTATTCATATCCATATATAATCCATGCATGCACTCAATTACGATGATGAAAACATGACGCTGGAAGAAGTTCCAAATTTGATGTTTGAGTCTTTCGCACCAGCCAGCGGCCCTTGGATCCATTATTGAGTCGGAGATAATGAGGTTGATTACTCGCCAATAAATCATTAATAATTAAGATTGTCGTATTAGAATCTTTTGTTATACGTGGGGTCATTATCTATGTGTCAATTAAATTTTAAATTGGCTCTGTAATCTTAAAAGTTTGCAGGTACACAACTTTCTTAGATTTTCAGTATTATATGTTCAACGGAATATTTAGAGAATATATGTATGTATGTATATGTATATATATATATATATATGAGATTGGTGGCATCATATTTTTTACACAAATTTTAAATCATTAGATTATTTCACTATCAATGATTAAGATTTAATCTAATAACTAATTAATTATACGGTAAAAAAAAGAAAGCTAGTTAATTATTATTAATTTCCCTCATAAGAAATTATTATTTCTTATAACATATTGATTTGACCCTTTAAGCGGGACACCACCCCATAGCATGTTGCTGCCAGTAGCCCGTATTTCTTCTAGAGAATCTCTTAATTGTTCCCGAGGAACTAGAAAGAGATTCTTTAACTAGAAAGAATTCAGTTCAAATGTAAGATATCTATCCAGAAGTTTTCGCAACTCAATCATGTACGATGGAATTCAGTTCAGATGTTGGCAAGGCGTCTAGGACGGACTTTTGGGCTTTTGTTGGAGGGCCGTCGCAGGGGACTACGAATGTTACGGTGAAGTTGTGGCGGTGGACGAGTCATTTGGCAAACTCGGCAAGTGGGATGAGGTGGCCCATGCCTGGACTCGGGAGAATTGCTATGTGAGGTGTTTGTGCTTTTTCCAAGGTGGTTAGCGTGTGCTTTTTGGGTAAGTGCTTTTAATTTGGTGAAGAGAGAGGAAAGGAGTTAGCTGGGAATGTTATGAGAAAGAATCAGGTGAGCTGCTGCTTTTTATAGATGTGGGGTGTTTTGGGAAGAGAGAGAGGGAGAGGGAGAGAGAAAGAGAGAGATTAATAGTTAAATGGGATTATAGAGGTACTTAATGTAGGGTTTGTGTTGTTTGGTTGTGGTTGTGGGAATATTATATGAGGATGTAATATGAGAGAGAGAGAGAGAGAGAGAGAGGAGGGGGGGCGGACGGCACCTTTGAGAGAATTTTTGTTGGGAATGGCCAGCCATGCAATGAACGCATGTATGAGTGATGTCAACTCAAACGCAAGGCTTACGTTATCAAATCAAACTTTACATGGTACTGCTAAGAAACTAAATTTGTAGACTAAATTTACAAACTAAAAAATGTGTCATAAATAAGAACTATATATGGTAATCAACACTTAAATAATAATTCAATCTTCAGTTTCTATGGCATTTAATGTTTACAAAATTTAGTCTCCCCAGCATTATTCGGGTATATGCTTATGACATACATACTGACCTTGTCTAACCTATTTGACGAACGTAATTTTACTGGTTTGATGAGTCAGACAGTATCAGTAATAAGTCTTCACAATACAAACTATAATATTGTGAAAATGAAGTCAGTCTATACGTACTACTTTGTATACATATTGTTAAGCAAAATAAGAACAATTTAACTCGAAGAGCACAAGTACCAGTAATACTCCATTTCCCATGAAGGTGTTGTGGACGCAAATTTCTTACTCTTTGTTCTTGGACAAAATTGCACCTACAAAACAAATAACACCTTAGGTCAAGCCAAGAGCCTTGCTTTGAGCGTCGTTGGAAAGTTGATCATCTTGTCATCGCTTTAAGCGTCGTGGATCGTCGTGGTGGGGCTACGTCTCGTCCTCCATTTGATCGGATCTTTGGAATGTAGGAAGTTTCGTTCATCGTGGTTTTCGAATTTCCCGTCATTGTATTTTTTTTTTCCTCACCTCTATTCAAAGAGTTAAAAAATTCTGGGAATAAGAAAGCATGAAAAATTTACAAACAAACGAGAAACGAGAAACTTTGAATGCGAGAATCTTCTTTGAGCATGTGAATCAAACTCTCGATGAAAGCATCAATTTGTGGATGCAAATTTCTTCCTCCTTGTTCTTGGACAAAATTGCACCTACAAAGAAAAATAACACCTTAGGTCAAGGCCAAGAGCCTACGCGTCCACGATGAATTTGGTGGGGCGGGGGAGGGGGGGTTAGAATTTTGAGGGAAAAGTATTTGGAGAATTTAGAGAGTTTAGCAAGAGAATTGGAATTAAGTTTTGGAGAAAACAAGGTGATATTTATAGGGGTGTGGCCGACCATGTTGGGAGGAGATGGA